TAGCACATGAAATAATGCATACAATGAACCTAGCAGAGTTCATAGCATACAGTACTCATAAAAATGTTAGTTGCCCACCCACTTACTGAATGCCACATAAGAGGCATTCATTTGAATAATCGACTTAATTTGTTAATTAAATTTAACTACAAAATCACTCAAAACAAACTAGTTTATTATGGCAATTATTTAACATTATTAACTATTACTTGTGGCTTCAATTCAAGAACAAAAGCAGGAAGTTAGTGAATAGTATGTTTATATGACAATCTAACAACATATAAAAATCTTTAAAGTATCTATTTATATAGAAACTTTTTATATAGGATACTTTTTCAATGCCTAACTTAAAATTTTACATAATAGTCTTATTGTCGGACCGCAGACCTTATTATTATCATGTAACTATTTAGTTTAAAAATGAATTATAGGGCCTCCCCAGTGGCGCAGCAGTTGAGCGCTGGGTTGCAAAGCTGCCCGCAGCCTCTGCAGCACCGGTTCGATCCCCGACCACCAGGTGAGGGTCCCACATAGTGCGCAGACCTCTCCTGCCGCCCGCTGCTCCCCTCAGCAGTGTACTTTGGTCCTTCTGCCTGTTCTGCTCACCGCTCTGGCTCTGGTGAATTCTCACCCTCCTGTGCTTCTGACTGTACCCAGTGCTTGTATAAATAAATAAATAAATAAATAAATCTTAAAAAAAAAAAGAATTATAGCCAAATCTGCAGAGAAATTAATATATGATAAAAAATCAGTACAATATAAGAAAAAAAAAACTTGTTGACTATGATAATTAAAAAAATCAGAAATAAGTACAGACAACTAACAAGTTATATCTCAAAGCTTTGCTATTTGGAGTATTTATGCAGTCCATCTCAAACTCCTTTTTATCAACCTACGTATAAGGATTAAAACGCTTTGACGTTATGCCTCCTGTCCAAGTTTGTGTCGCTGCAAAAGGGGTGTGAAATTTAGGAGTGCATCAGCTATACTAACGAACGCTATTAAAAATGCAGTCCCTGAGCCTCACTCCAGACCTACTGAATCTGAACTTACATTAAAGGAAAGCTAATTTTATGAAGATCTAAAATATACCTCTCCACTCTCTGCATTGTACTTGGCTTTCTAGACTCGGTCTAAAATACCCTCTAACAGCTCTGCAATTATGCTAGTCATCAATTCTACCTTATGATTATACCATGGGAGTCAGTTAATAAATGCAAGAGTTGCACCTTTGCAGAACAGGTGTCATTTAGGGAGGCCTTCCCTGACCCCGCCAGACCTGGGCTGGGGGACATGCTCTCATATACTCTGCTTATACTGTCATAACTCTTGTCAGATTTGTAATTATTTATTTAATATCTAGATTTCCCCCTGGCTATAGTTTCCATGAGGGTAAAAACTGTCTGTTGTCTTTGTGAATTTAACCTCAGGGCCTATGCATAAACATTTCTTTGCCTGAATAAAGCAAGGAGCAGGGATCAACACTGCTAAGATCTGGTGGGACCAGACTATAAAGGATCACTGTGGCAGGCTAAGGAGTTTGGACTTTGTCTTGTCAGCAAGAACCCAAAGAGGGATAACTTGAAGAAAGATGTTCTTTCAGAATATTCATCTGGGCACTGCTCTACAACATGGCAAATTAGAGTAGACCAAGACTGGAGATCAGGAGATGAGTTAGCAAATAACTGTAACATCCAGGGTGATACGGGGTAAGGACTTGAGTTAGGGAGTTGTGGCCGTGGAAATGGAAAAGAAATGTTGGACACATTACAAAGGACTTTGAACAGAAGAGGAAAGCATCTGTGTTAGAAGTCAAGTTTAAGTTAGTAAAGGGGATTTATTTGTTCATCTAACAGTCAAGTCTACAAACAGGTCTGGCTGGATCCAGAGACTCAATCATCTCTTAGCTGTTTCCCTCTTACATTCTCTAATCTTGAGATTGCTTTCCTGGCATGGCCAGAAATACAGCACTGAAAGTCATTAGATTCTCTTTAGTTTACTATACGCAAAGTAACTGACCCTCCATGTCCAAAGGACCTATGAAATCTCCTTAGAAGGACTCTATCTGTACACACATCCAGAGAACCAGGCCAGCCAGATCATATGCACCCTATAAAAAAAGGCGGAGGAGATTCTGTGAATGACAGTTTCACCAGGACCACCAGGAGTGGGAGAGGATTATCTCCCCAGCAGCAGTGATTCTGCACAAACACACAGCACATATTCTTTCTGAAACATAGCTTTGTTTTTTGGGCCAAGGCACCTAAATTTATTCATTGTTTTTGCCTCTTTGGGATATTAGTAGACTTGAGTCTTAAGATTTATAGCTACATAGCTACTACCAAGTCAGATTATTCATCTATGTAAGAAGAAAGTGGTAGACTTTCAAAGTGAAGGTAGAGGATCAGAAGCACAACTGCCTGGACTTAAATCCATGTCCCACATGGACTTTACCACATACAGCTACTTCTCTGTCCCTCCATTTCCTGTGAAAATGAGGATAACGGTAATAGCTCACGGGGATAACTCACGGGAGGAGTCAATGAACACATGAAAGTCTGCTTAGAAGAGTCTGCCATGCAGTAAGTGCTCACACAAGGTGTTTCTATTTCATAAGCGTATGTACACATAAATGGTATTTATATAAACAACTCAAACACGGCATTGAAAGACGTCAGGAATAATTTACATGAAACCTTTCTGACCAATATCAAAAGCTTCCCATGGCTCCTACTTCACTCAGAATATGAAGCAAAGAATTCACTGAAGTTTGGAAGGCCCTACATGATCTGAGTCACACCCATTCCCACCCTGCTGTCAACTTCCACCACACTCCTCCTTGCTCACTTTGCTCAAGTCACACCAGACTCTATCTTCTCCTCAGACACATCTGCCCTGTTCCTTGTACTGACTTCCCGCTGACACGCTCCTCTTCATCAGGCGTGTACACTCCCTCAAACCACGTCAGCTCAACTGTCACCTTCTCAATGAGGCGGGCCCTCACCACTGCATTCAAAACCTCATTTCCCACCATCTCCTTTCCTCTCGCCACCTCTCATCATCCCTTCCTTTGTTTTACTCTATTCTTCTACCATTGCACTTTTTACATTTATAATTTATGTATCATATTGCTTGTGTATCGCTAGTTTTCTCCATATGCAATATAAATTCCGTAAGAACAGATACCATTGCCTATTGTATTGATTACTTATATAGCTGACACATAATATATGCTCAGTAACATTACTCACAAAAATTTATCCCACACTCAACTATACCTACATTGAATTACACAGAAACACAGGTCCACACTTTAGACGGTGCTCTTTGAGGGGGGCTTGTCACTGTTCATATGGGGAGCAGGGCAGAGAGAGGTGTGGCAGTCTGAGAGGATTAAAAAATGGATATGAGGTACCACCTAAGTGAAGAGACCATCTTTCTTAAAAATTTCAAACTTACATAAGATAGATATCTGACTTATAGATTACCAATATAACCTTTGCGCTAGATTGCAGGCTAATTCCCACAAGTATAATGCCCAAGGTCCAGGAAGTAGATCTTCTATTTAAATAAATATTCTAGTCTTTTAGAACTAGAAGTGGCCTCGGATACCAGTTGTTTTCTTCACAAATGGAGATAAAACCTGCAACTTGAAATGCCTTTTTCATGGTAAAACAACTATTATTAGAAGGGATTTAATTTGCATTTCCCTAACGACTAATGATGTTGAGCATCTTTTCCTATATCCTATTAATCTTAAAAGATTTCCTTGAAATATAAACAATTACTTTCCCATAGACTGAACTGGAAGTGAGGGAAACTAAGGTAAAATAGGGCACCAAAAAAGCTTAAACTTTGGTTATATATTTATAAGGCTATTGAGAGGATCTACCAGATCCTATTATTATTGAAAATAATAATATGTAAAGTATCACTATAAACCTAAGGAACTGTAATTGCTACTAAGTGTTAGAAAGTTAAAACTGCACCAGGGGCCTCTAGCTCTCCCAGCTGGGAGAACTTGCAATGAAAAATCCTACTCTGGGGTCTCCCTGGTGGCGCAGCGGTTGAGCGCTGGGTTGCGAAGCTGCCCGCAGCCTCTGCAGCGCCGGTTGGATCCCCGGCTGCTCCCCGGCCACTGGAGGAGGGTCCCACATGGCGCGCAGACCTCTCCTGCCGCCCGCTGCTCCCCTCAGCAGTGTACTTCGGTCCTTCTTCCTGCTCTGCTCCCCGCTCTGGCTCTGGTGAATTCTCTCACCTCCCGCACTTCTGACTATACCCAGTGCTTGTATAAATAAATAAATATATATATAAATCTTTAAAAAAAAAAAAAAAAAGAGGCGATCTTCTCTGCCCAGAGTGTCCTAACTGGACCACATCAAAAAAAAAAAAAAAAAAAAAAAAATCCTACTCTGAATCTGTTGCCATCATTGTTTGTCTACACTTTCAAAGTTGTCCAAAATTAAGCTGGCTTTTAAGTTGGATACCAAGTCCAGTTTTTAAGCATAAATGTTATTTTTCTTTCTTTCTATAGCCAACATAGCCAATGAGTCCAGCATTCCGGTAATAGCATAGCAAGGGACGGATTTAGAATTCCTTCTCATTTCAGAATGAGAATCTGAACAACTTTTGCTTCGGTTCTCCCATGACTAACATCTCACACCTAAACAAGCCTTCAAGCTTCCAAAAACTAAAATGAAAATTCCATTTGTCTTTCAGAAACCTCTAAGTGAAAAATGCACTGAATTCTACAAATCCCTGATGTAGGCATTTCTCAAAAGTACAAAAGCAAAAGTGCCTATTCAAGGTTCCTAAAGTATCTGGATAGACAAGATGACAATGATTAGTTGAAAATCACCTAGGATGGTTTCAGATCAAAGTAAATCACCTAGGCCCATACCAGATATCTACACTCACAGAGTGATAATACAAAACCACCAAAGAATTAAGAGTACTATTCTAGTCAGCAGTATTATTTTACACTAAAAGGAAGGACTTACCTTTCTTTCTTTTAAAAGCTTTTTATAGCCATTTGACCCAAGTGACAATAAAGTAATAAGGACATCTAAAGATGGAGAAGCTGAAGCTCTTCCTGAAATAAGGATGAGTAAGTTATATTCAGGAGGTAAAAAGTGTCTGAGAAATTAAGATTTATTACAGTATTCTATGTACAAATGGATTTTTGTTTGCTAGTTACTTTTTTGGAAGAACAACTGATTTACTTACCTGGATACATCTTGCTAATTTCCTGGATGAAAGAATCATTAAAGCCAGCAATTATAGCGCCACCTACTGGAACCATAAAATTTTTGTCCAAGCTCTGAACAAAAGCATCTATTCTACCAACACGGGCCCCCTAGAATGAAATAAAATATAGTATTACATACCAGTTTCTAAAAGAAAAAACAACTATTGCTGTTAACCAATAAATACCATTAAAGTAATGCATAGAAATCAAACATTTTGATTTTATTTGTAACAGTGCCAGTAAAATATGTTTAAGTAGTAAAACTGAGTTTTTTAAATGCTGTTCCTAATATGTGGAGCAGCACTTTGTAACTTACAGCCTGCTTTCACACATGAATCAATCCTCACAACAATTGCTTTCCTGCAGACTGCATTGGAGGTGGGGAAACTGCAGTAAGGAGGATAACAAGGTTTCAATACCAATTCAGGTGGGAATGAGATGGAAACACCTTTTTACTTTAAAACTGGGTAAGAGGATTCCTCCCATACCTCTCATCTGTTCTTCTTCTTGACAATAAATGTCACTGGTGGTTCCTACAACTGCTGAGTGATTACAAATACCCCGTGTGAGTGCAACAGTGCCCGCCATTACGTAGTGAACTGCAGCCACCCCTGCTGCCAGTCAACTGAGGTGCCTCTCTTCGTTGCTTGAAGCAGCTACTACCTGCACAAGCACTTTAAGCTACAAGTTCTGCTCCTACTACTAAGTGAATAACAAAATAGATTGTTCTTATTTTTTTTAATATCAACTAATGGAAAATTTTTATATGCCTTTGGCACTGTTTCTACATAGGTCATATAGCCTTATGTTATAATCTTAGATGATCTCATTCTATTGCAAATAAACTTCAAGTGAAAATCTAATATTCTGGCAAAAAGTTGAATACTTACTTACAAGAAATGTAAAACTGTTCTAGTACCCATCCAACATAGTCTATGACCTCTGTCTAATGTGCTTCAATTTTCTCCTTTTAAAAACAGATACTATCTAAATTTCAACTAAGATAGTTTTTCCCCTTTATCTGCAGCCACAGATTTTCAATCTGTATTCACAATCTACATTCCTATTAATATTATAACTGCATTTGACCTTCATCGTCACACTTTCTCTCCACATCCCTATCTCAGAGAATAGAAAGAGCAGATAGCTGGCCTAATCTAAGAGACCAGACCCGGGCAACAAGTAGAGGCAGCAAAAGTAGGGAAAAGGAGCAGACTACTCTGGAGGCTACTGCATATGACTGTTTAAATTGAAGCCTTCCCCTGTTACTCTTGTAATTTCTTTATAAACTATGATCAAAAAAAAAAACAATCACCACATCAAAGGGAAATAGAAAGACGTAAGACTAATAACTGGAAAATATGCAAAGAAGTAGCACATAAAAGGAAACAGAACTGCCTATCTATTAACATTTAAGAGCTGTCCAAGGCTACTTGAGAGAAAAACAAAATTCGGAGCAGGCATAAATAAGAGAACAATTACGGCACCATAATTTGTGGGAATCCTTCATCACTAAACCACAGGAAACACTCAAAGGGCACATATTTGGTGGCAAGAAAACAAACAAGATGGACCCAATCTCAGGATGGTGTACTGGGACGTTCCCCCCAAGTCAGAGGCTATTCAATGGGAAGGAAGAAAAGGCAGAGAGTGAAACCACATAATTCAAGCACCTGCTGTGTGCTGATGACTTTGTTCTATATTTGATACTTAAGGAATCATTTTACCTTTTTATTCTAGACTGCAAATGGCTTAATTTATAAACATCCTAATAGGCAACTAGAGAGTTGGTAGTTTTTTGATGCTTATAATAGAATTTTAAAAACCCTCTGACTCATTATAATTTTGCTGACTTTGAAGGAAATAATGTGACTTGAGGACTTGGTTTCACTATACACCTTGTTTTGCAAGAAGGTGCTGTTTCCAAGAATCTCATGTCCAGTGAGTACTTACTGTAATTTAAAAATGACTACCACTGGGTCTCCCCAGTGGCGCAGCAAGTTGAGCGCCGCGCTGTGAAGCTGCCCGCAGCCTCTGCAGCACAGGTTCAATTTCCAGCCAGCCAGGGAGCAACCCACATGGCGCGGCAGACTTCTCCTGCCACCCGCTACTCCCCTCAGCAGTGTACTCGGTCGCTCTGCCTATTCTGCTCCCCACTCTGTCTCTGGTGAATTCTCTCACCCTCCCGCACCTCTAGCCTGTACCCCAGTTCTTGTATAAATAAATAAATTTTTAAAAAAATACTATCACTCAGTATATGAGAAAAATGAGAATCCTGGTAATGAAACATCCTCAGTAAGTTAAAAATTAAGCAACTGAAGACTTCCTATAATGATTCTAACTGAAGCTATTAGTCCTGTTACTATCACAGAACAAGGACTTTTATTGACAGAACATGGATACAAATTTCTAATGCTCCCAAAAGCAGAGGGTGTTAGGCAACTGTTTTTACCATATTAGGTTGAAGAAAACCACAGGATTAGTCCTATAATATGTTAAGACGCATTTTTTCTCGACATAATCTTTTTAACTCTCTTACATGCTGGATGAGGTGCATGCACTTTGAAGATTGTACTCCATAAGCATTGTTGACGATGTGTGGAATGTCATAGTTGGCACACATCACAGCCAGTTCTCCTAATCTATAAACATAAATATTCAACAGAAAGACAAAGTTAAACTGTGCTTTATAAATTGCAGTGTGAAATTTAAAAAAAAAGTATCTCATTATCCTTAATATACATGCGGGGAAAAAATGACAGAAGTGAGACTTCCACAGTAGTATTTTAGAATATAATGCAGCAATTTGGAAATACATAGCAGGCACTTTAGAATGAACTTAAAAAAAGCTTTTAAATTAATACTACCAATAAATGAGAAAATGTGTATCTATAAAAATCTATATAGATGGTTGCTTTTAAATCACTTTAAAATTTCCAATATAAAAAGCAAGAAACAGATTATTTATGATGAATCCTTAGAGGTGGTATGTATGCTGATTTTTTAAATGCTTCTGGTTGTTTATCATACTAAAGCTAATGTCTGCAAAATAACTAGCATATCTTGAAGTCTTAAGAATCTCACATTAAGTATTTCCTAAAGTAAAAAATACATTTTCAAATTGACTTTAATGTATTAAAAAATACAGAACATTAAAATGTTTCTGCGCCAAAATAACATTTTCCAACAACTTGGATACTAAAGAATCTTTTAAATAGCTGCTACTTTTAAATTCACTCTTACTTTTTCATTTGACACTTATATTAAGGCAATTTCAGAGTCTAACTTTATGCAAAGTAGGGTAATAAATTTTAATTAGAGCGTAATAAATAGATGTTCCCTCAAAAACCAAATATTACTTATGACTGAGGTCATCTCCAATAGAAGTCTTTTCACTATGAAGACAAAACTAAATCATATGGTTTAATAAAATAAATTTTCTAAAAATTTTCTTTCTACCATATAGAGAATTTGGACGTAAAGCACTTTTATGCAATAAAAGTTGTTTTCTATAAGAACTTTTTCCAAATATAAACTATATAGTTTTACTATCTATTTATGCATAATACATCTTTTCTTAGTAGATGTACATTAATACATAACATTATTCTGTTTATCTGTCAGAAGTTTTCAATTTGCTTAGAGTTTTGTGAACTAAAAACTCATTCATTTTCATAAAGTTCACAAATTGACACAGAAAACCTTTGTAACAAACTAGGTCTTTTTTGTTAAAAGCAACAGGTAGTTTGTTATAAACTACAAGTTTGAACAACAAACTTCCTTGAGAGTGAGTCACCATAATTAACAAAGTATTATATTCAAAGGAAAAAAATCATGGTCATTACTTTAAAATGCTTTGAAGTCTTCTAATACTCAGAATGCACAAAAGTATTCAAAGGCAGAGTGCCACAGAAAAAATCATCTCCCAAGTGAATCAAACTGTATTCCAACGTTAAGCCAATTAAGGTGTTAACAGTGAGAAGAAACGCTACCCCTCATATTTTAACATTTCTTTTGATTCTGCTCCATAAGACACTCTATCCATTAATTAATAGACAAAATAGATATACGCCTTTTCAAATTAAGACTACACAGGAATTAAGATCAATGTAAAGGAATCAAAATGCATTTTTAAATTTAATAAAATAAAAAATTCAAGCATATTACTATTAACTGTGCACCACCATTTTCCTAGTTTGCTCTTACCAGAAACATTCATTACGTAACACTACTAACAAGAGGCAAATGAGGACTTTGCTAACTGACAAGAACTTTGATTTTTCCCAAAGGGACTAATATATGTCAAATTCTGAAAACTGCACCATAATGTAAACAGTCATAAAATGTCAAAATGAAACAAAAACATAACTATCCTCAAGAATAATGTAACTAATACAAATACCCATGCTCTGTTTTTGGAAATGTGATCCATTAAAAGTTTCCTAGTTATCATTAAAATTTTCCTAGATATTATAAAATTTTCATTAAAATTTTCCTAGATATCATAATCATAAATGGAGAAAAAAAATACTTATTTAATATTTCAATACAAATTTAAAATCTGGTTAATAATGAAAAAACAATGAAAGCATATAAAGTTTTAAGAGTAGAATTCACAGACTCACCAAGGAAGCAAGATAAATTTTCAAGAGCATTTTAAAATTCTTTTAAAATCTGTCTATAACTAAAGCTAACATGCATTCATTCACGCCTGCCAAATAACATGATTTCATGCATTAAAACCAAAGTATAACTTGACACTACCAAAAAAAAAAAAAAGAAAAGAAAAACAGACAGTAGTTATTACAAATTATTAGCATTTCTGTTCAAAATGTAGAACACCACAATGAGTTGCTGTCAAAACTAGAAATCTGTATTACTAGATCTAAGTCTATTACATTACCAGGGTAAGAATTTGTAACCATCCTCTGGAAAAGTGAGTGTTTGCTTTTTTCCTTCATTTCTTAAATATTTGTATTTTTCTCAAAATGCAAGGATATCCATTGGTGTACACATAAGTTACATCTGGATTTCCCTTCCAATTAAAAACAATGCAAAGGATAGGGCATAATGCTAAAATTTTCTATTTAAAATCTGTTAATACTGATAGTTTGTACCTATGAAAACTATAAAATCAAAGAAGTGGAGATTGGAATGAAAACAAGTAAATCTAACATTTACTGTAAAAGAAAAACTCCCATTAAATAATGAGGGAAAAGATGCTAAGAGATCAGAAACAAAAAAAAAAAAAAAAAAGCAAGAAAACTGAGATGCTTTGTGTCCATTCAGATGATAAAAGGATCTCCACTCATTATTAGCCACCTTTCCTTCTTCTATATCAAATTTTTATTTTCCCAAGTCATTATGCTGTTTCTGCACAAGGTCAATCTATTCTCTTAAACAGCCCAATCACATAATGTTAGTTAAGCATACTTGGGGTTAGTAGACCTACATTTTAATAACTGATGAACACTTAAAGGATGATGTTCACAAATCATTTACCTATCAGGCACTCTTGGAGCAAAACAGGAGGTAGTAGAATGAATACACAGAATGGAATCAGGCCCAAGTTCCTGGACTTTAGCCTCCACTGCTTTCAAGTCTGTGCGCAGTTCATCACCTTCTAAAACATTCTCTATCACCACGGGCTCAAAACCTAGCCAAATCAACCAGAAATCAAACTGTTAGTGTAAACTAAATTAAGGAACGCTGGAAAACTAGAAAGCAGACCTATTCTGCGCAAGAACTCTAAATGTTTATTTTTTTCAATGTACGAATCCCCCTCCCCCACAAAATAAAGAAATATCAGGCTGAATACTGGTTTAAGTCAAAGGCACCTCAAAATAATGTGGACAACTAGACCACATTTAGGGTCACAAATCTATTTAAACACTTTTCTATGACAAGAAAGACAGTCTGTAAAGGAAAATAAATGTTAAACAGTTAATACTATATAAGTAATAACACAGGCATTGATGACAAATAGATCACTTAGTCGAGATCAATTTCAATCCATAGAAAAGTAAATCTTATTCTTTGGCAACATTTGAGTCTTATTTTTATTTGAGAGATAAACAAAAATAATACAATTCAAAGTATTAAGCAAATCATAAAACATCAACTTAATGTTTTACATGTAAAATATCATGCATTTCACAGACTCATCTCATAACCTTCTATAATTTAAATGTAAAAATTTTCAATTATCTACTGAATTAGTCCACAGAACTAGCATGTGACCAAAGTTCCACTCACATAATAATTATGTAACCTATGGTAGATATTTAGGTACCCATAAATAAAATATTGTATATGCAATACATACACTAAACATACAAAGCACATACATAACTAAGGACTTTGTGTTCCTAGTAAATACTCAGCAGTAAAAGTAAAATCTAAGTATTTAAGCCTCAGAAATTGGATAAAAAATAAAACTGGGAAATTTCACACCATTATTATGTACTCTAGTCTTCAATCTTTCCAAATACCAAATCTAGCATCAGGCTAGATTCATGGGCTTAAGAGCTGAAGGGATTTAGAAACCATTAGCTCAACTCCCTCATTTTAAAGATAAGGAAGTTAAAGTTCAGGAAGATTAAGTGGCTTCCCCAAGGTCACACAGCAAGTTAAAGCAAAGTGAAGGGCAAGTAGTATTCTTTTGTGTTTTAGACTCCACCTCAAGTTCTCTGCATTCTATCTACAGAAATATAAAACCTCAGGCACTATAAAATCATCAGTTCAAATATACTCAATCAGAGATGTCCAGGTTTTATGCCTATGCTTGTACAGCTGTTAAAACAAACACAAAACTTAAATTCATAAGGACAACTAATTTTCTGTTATTTCTCAAATTCTCCAGCTACATCCCTACTTTTGCTTTTCAAACAACAAAATGCAAATTTTTTTAATGAGTACAACTATCTTGTCTCCTAAGAGTACAAACTATCCTAAAAAAAAAAAAAAAAAGAGAAAGAAAGAACAACAATTCTAAATTGTACTCCAAACCATAATAACATTTTGAAAAAATTTTCTAGTTTTTCAAGATGGCAATCTTTTCCATACGTTTAGTTATCAGTTCTTTGGTTAACAAGATATAAATTATGACTTCACAACTTATGCCACCTAAAATAAATCTGTATGCTTTTTAAATGGCTATCAGTTTCTATAATGTGTCCCTTTTATGAAACACTTTAAAGAGTTTTTATGAATTATTTATGCAGTTTAGAGTGCAATACTCTTCATTTCATATAACAGACTAAAGACATTCAAGAATATCTAAAAATTCTCAAATTCAACTTGACTTACTTAGGCCATGTACTAAAATACCAGTTGAAGATTTTTGTCTCATCGGTACTTCATGATGTCTGTATTCCTGCACTTTGATTTTTGGTAATAATGTATATGCACTATACTCAGGTACCCACAACATTCCTGAAGCACCTTTTATGCTCTAGGGATTATTGCTGGGCATTTTCAGATGATCCCACTTATTCCTCAAAACAATCCTGTGAGTCAAATAATCATGCCCATTTAAAGAATAGGGACACATAATACAGCAAGTCCATTTTTGAGTATTTACCTAAAAGAATTCAAAGCAGGAACTCAAACAGGTATTTTACACCCACATTCATGCTTATTCAACAATAGGCAAAAGGTGAAAGCAAACCAAGTGTCCGTCAATGAATGAGTGAATGAGTGAACGAACAAAATGTGGACTATATATAAAAAGATACTATTCAGTCTTTAAAAAAAAGGACATGCTGACACATGCTCTACTATGGATGAATCTTAAAGATTCCTGGAAGCTAAGTGAAATCAGTCTGTCACAAATACACACACTCTACGACTCCACTTATCTGAAGAACCTAGTCCTTCATAGTCAAATTCATAGAGACAGAAAGTAGAATAATGATTACCAGGAGCTGGAGTTAGTGAGGGGGGTGAGTTATTATTTACTGGGCATCGTTTCAGTTTGAGAAAATGAAAAGTTCTGTAAATGATAGTGGTGATGGTTGTACGATGTGAATATGCTTAATGTCACAAAATCATGCACTTGAAAATTGTTAAAATGGTAAATTTTGGGGATATACATACTACTCCAATTTAAAAAAAAAAAGAACAAGAAAAGACTCAGTTTCCATTACATTTATCTATCTCTATATGAAAGAGTTGGAATTTTCTGTGATAATAAAGATACTATACATGCAATTTCTCTCCTGTTACCTGCAGTGATCATAGATTTGAAGCAGGACTTCTGGTCTATTCGTGGCCATATAATATACTTTGCCTTTGGTCTTTTGTGTCGTAATGTTAAGAAACACAGGGTCAGACTCATACCGGTTGCCATAGGAACTACAAAGCAGTTGGTCACGGTATGGACACCTAGGAGTAAGAAGTACAGGAGAAATTAGTTATTCCATTGAAAAACTAGCACCCTTCTTCAAGATGTTATACAATTTTTCTATCAAATTGCAAGAGTTGTTGCTTCAACGTTTCTTCTTCTACACTCACTCTTGGGAGGTTCCCAGCCAAGTTTGCATTCCAGCCTTATGGCCGATTTTCTACCTTATTCCAAATGTTTTTATATGCATATATATTTTCAAAAGCCACTCATATCCTGTTTGGAAAGAGGCATTCATCAAAGAAACTAGGCAAAGGTATGCATAGCTGGTCAGGCAGAAATATTATGATTACCCAGAGTACTTACCAGCCAACTTTATGATGTCCAGTACCAAAGAATTGGTAATTTTGTTTAAAAGGCTAGAACCTGCAGCTTTTGGTTGCACAGCAGAAATATCACCTGATCGTCCAATTCCATGTATGAACCTAAGCAAAAAAGGGGCCAACAACTGGACAAAAATATTCAGTGTTCTAAGTAATTCACTGTATAATATATAAATAGCAAAAATAACACCAGAAGCAATACTTGAATATTAAAAGTTTATAAAACAGGGCCTTCCCAGTGGCGCAGCAGGTTGAGCGCAGCGCTGTGAAGCTGTCCATTCTCTGCAGCACGGGTTCGATTCCTAGCCAACCAGGGAGAAACCCACACGGCGTGGCAGACCTCTCCTATCTCGCCCACTGCTCCCCTCAGCAGTGCTTTCAGTCCATCTGCCTGTTCTGCTCCCTGCTCTGTATCTGGTGAATTCACTCACCCTCCTGCACCTCTGGCCTGTACACCAGTGCTTGTATAAATAAATAAAATCTTTTAAAAATATATTAAAAAATAAAAAATAAAGCTTATAAAATATTAATAATGTGAAAATATTGACTTGAAACAAATGTCAATTCTGCTGTGGTAGCTAGCTTCCAAAGATGACTATCATCGATTCCCTTTTTCTCCTCACACCCATAAGCTACTGCTATACCACCTGGAGCTGGAATCTAATTCCTTTCCACTTAAATCTGGGCCAGACTTACTTGATTAGAGTAAATCTAGCAGAAGTGATGAGGCAGAACATCTGAGTTAGGTCTAAGAAGTCTTGAAGTTTATACTTGGCTCCATGAATGTCTTTCTTTTGAGGATCTCCCTCTTGCAATCCAGCTGCCAGGCTGGGAGAAGCCTATGTTACATGGAGAAACCATCTAAACTCCCAGTCACCTAAGGGAGTCATCCTGGATAAACTACCCAGTTGAACCTACAGACGACTAAACTCACAGCCAACATCCGACTGCAACTGTATGAAAGACCCACAACAATAATCTGAGTCCTGCTCAGCCCAGTTAACCTACAGAATTATAATAAATGACTGCTTTAAACCACTAAATTTTGGGATGATTTGTCAGGCAGCAAGAGAAAAACAGAATATCTAGAAATTAAATTATCTTCTTTCTTTTCCTTACTCCTAGGCAGCACAGTTAATTTCTAATGGGGATGAGCTGCTTGCTTAAACATTGCCTTAATTTTTTAAGAACCACATGCTCTTTGAAAAGCGGTACATAAACCTATTCATCTTAAATTAGATAATGTTATATACTATCTAAAGATACCTCTGGATACTCTTCAAAATAAAAAATCTATACCTTATAGCTAGATAGAAAAATCTGTACACTGGGATTATCACAGATTGCTAGTGCCGCACTGTCACCACTGAACCCTTATGTGCAAAACATGTTTTTACATATATCATCAACCACATCAGCATCCCATTGCTGAACATGAATTTTTCATCCAAGTTATACATTATCATTAGCTTTCACTGGCATGATTTTCATTAAAATAAAGTTCTACTATCCTTAGGAAAAGTCATGTGTTCATACTATAAAATCAAGTAAAACTGGGGTTTTTACAAGGTAACCACCATATCCTAGAATTTTTACCCTGCCTTGAAAGGCACCTGCTCAAATTGTTCCTTTCTGGAAGATCTAGTTTCTATGCCATTTAATTAGGGAAAAAATGGGTTACCAATGGACATCTTAGAACTGAACATGACAAGTACCACCACCTTTGTCAAACAAAAAAGGAAAAAAGAAATGTCTTCACAAGCTACTTAAAAACCTACCTGTAATGTCGACGGGCAACTAAAGAAGATGCTACTCTCCCTTCCCTTTCTCCCACACCACAATTGCCCAGGAAATTGTTGCTATCCATGATGGCAAGCTCATGTAGAAAGAGCTCAAGTGTACTTTCATCCCAACCATCTTCTGGACACTTCCCCTTTAAAAAAAAAAAAAAAGTTTATAATTATTATATTAAAAAAAAACAAAAAACTTTGTTCCCCAGAGCCTTACTTCAACGAATTAAACCTGTCTTAACATATATTTCGCCATGCTCCCTACTTTCAAAACATCTGACAAAACTTCACTATGAGCAAACTTGGACTGGACAAAACACTTGTGTTACATTTTACTACAATTATCTGCAGGATGCAGATGTGCTTACAAAGACGTTTAGTCAGATCTGCAAGTTGCAATAAGTCAAAGTAACTGAAAACCCGTACGCCTTATCTTCCAGGAAGATTCGGCAAATCACGGTGTTAGAACTGGGGACTGTCAAACTTCAGTGAAATTAAAATTCAGGAACGCTGGCAGTCAGGAGGCCTGCGGGCTCCAAGAGGCTCCCTTGGTTCGAGTTAGCATTTCGTTGAGTAACAAAATGTGTTGCCTAAATCCCTGCAGCAGTGAATGGTGGAACGAGCAAACTTTGCCCTTCCCGCAAAAAAGTAACCTGTCTGGGACCTCCCCTGTTTATATCCCTGAGAAGTTAGGGGAAAATGGAGCTCAAAATCCCTACCCCAACTGCACCCCCTAAAAGCCCTCTGGCTCTTGCAGGCTCTCGGGGGCTCAAAGGGAGCTGAGGGCAGCAAGTGAGCAGAGGGCAGGCCCCGCCGCCGCACTGTGGGGTCAGGTCTCCCCGGCAGGAGCCGCGAGCCGGGCGGGGACAGGGCCGCGGGGCGGGGCCAGCCCTTGGGGGGGCGGCGGCGGCGGCGCGGGGGGGGCCGGCAGCTCGGGGGGGGGGGGGCAGCGCGGATGGGGGGCGTGCGGCGGCGAGCCTCGCAGCCCTGGCGCACGTAAGCCGGGACCAGCGGGCTCGCCGCCGCGAAGTTCTCGGGGTTCATGACCGCGGCGGCGCCTGTAGCGGGCACACGCGCCTGCAAGCCGGCACACGCGCCTGCAAGTCGGCCGCACGACGGAGCCCGGAAGCAACTCGCCCCTGGACGGTACGGCAGAGGCTTGGGACAAAATTCTTCCTTTCGCGCACACACTCCTGCTAGCCGGCCGCACGACGGAGCCCCGACGCAACTCGCCCCCTGGACGGTACGGCAGAGGCTTGGGACAAAATTCTTCCTTTCGCGCTCGCACATGCGCAACGCGCCCACTGGGAGCGCCTGCCGCCGGAGACTTTGAGCATGCGCAGAAAGCCAGCGCTGGCGCGTCAGGTAGCTTAGCAACGCCTCCCTGCAGCTGATTGGTCCAGTCCGGCCCGCGAGCCCCTGGAAAGCAGCGCTGCACCTGGGCACAGGAGCTGCGGCAAATAAAGGGCTAATAGGTGGGCGTTTCGGGGGGGGCGGGGGGGAAGTTTGTGAGCTACTCAGTGCGCCAGTCCTTTTGGACGGTGAGACGCGCGCTGTCTGTGCCTCAGCCTTGTTTAGACAGGGTTGCTCAGATTCCAGAGGATCCTATTTCTACTTTCGAACTTGTCAACATTAACGTGCCTGACAAACTCTTCTGAAGCAGCAATCACCCGCTCCTTTTCTCTTTTTCACTACAGAATTTTAGTCACACGTGTCACCCACCACCTGACGTGATAGTTTGTTTAACACACACACAGACACACACACACACACGCACATGTCCATAAATATAGATTCCCTAAGGGCAGGTCCTAGATTTTTGCTTTCCCCTAAGCGCCAGGAACTGTACCCAGATTACAGGAGAGAGGCAAAAAAAAATTTTTCTTTTAATACTTATTTAATGAATTACTCAACCTAGCTGGGTGCCAAGAAACGAATGAAAACGCAGGATCCTTGCAGACTTCACTTTAGGTGAGCCTACAGGAATTCCTGACATGGCTCTTATCAGTGGGGTGGAGCGGGTAGACCCCCGCTTGCATGGATTCACACTCACTGGCTAGAGCTGGTTGCTAAACGTTCAGTAATTTTGTAAGCTCATTTTTAAATACAGCTGCTTTTATAAACACATTATATAAATTTATAATTAAGCAAATTATATTAAAAGCAAAGATAATAAATACTCATGATGATCCTAATTATTTTACTACCTTTCACTATTATCCATATCTGCTGAATTTGTATGGTGGAGACAGGGTAGAATGGTGTATTGCTATGCATTTCTTTCCCACCCCCTTTTCAGTTGCATCATGTTTTAGTTTGAAATTGACCGGGTTGGGAATATTTACACCACAGAAACTAGCAAACACTACAAATCTGGGTCTTACCTGCCCTTCCCCTAGGAATCAGTTGTTTAACCTATAACAACTCGCCACTTTTCCTACTACATATTCCCAAGGCATCCTGTCATTTATCAACCAAATTGGTACTTGTCAAATTACTTTTTTTTAATATTTATTTTTTATTTATACAATAGCCGGGGTACAGGCCAGAGGTATGGGAGGGTGAGAGGATTCACCAGAGACAGAGTGGGGAACAGAACAGGCAGACTGACTACAGTACACTGCTGAGGGGAGCAGCGGGAGAGTCAGGAGAGGTCTGCTGTGCCTTGTGGGTTGCTCCCTGGCCTGCCAGGAAGCTGCAGATTGCTTCATAGTGCACTGCTTAACCCCTTGCGCCACCAGGGAAGCCCGAGAGTTTATAATTCTTTTGGGTACATATGATTCAGGTTACCTAACCTAGTTAACCTGTACACGTTGGTTAGAACTTTAGATGCAAAATTTTGACTGGCAAAACTGACTGAATTGACCTGGGAAGGGAACTGTATGATTCTCTTCCACAATAAACCTAGGATCCAAGAAAAAAACAAAAAAAAGGCATGACATGCTAGATAAGTCTCCTAAAAGTAGTATCCCCAAACATTTCAAAAAAAAAAAAACAAAAACAATTTGAACATAACTCAACAGTAGTAAACAGGAAAAAAGATAAAAACATAGGAGATTTTCATGATAAACTGGAAAATAGCTCTGACAATATTTAGGAGCATTAAAGTGGCCTTATTTTATCTCACTTCATCAAAGGAATTAAACCTTAAACCGGAAGCCTAATTCAAAAGTAGAAATTAGATGGAAAATAGCCCATGCGCCTGAAGTAAAACACCTGTCAGAACATTTTGAAAAGTAAAAATGAAACAGGGTACAAAATAAACACTGACCTTGCAGATCAAACAGCTAGGTGGCCCACTTCCCAAGAGACCATTTTTGACAAGAACTCCGTAGAAATTGTCAACAGAAGGAATAATGAAAAACAGAATTTCCCATTGTACAGAAGAAAACTCAGGACAAAGAAAATCCCTCAATTCTGATCAGTGAGGGTTCTCTGAAGAAAGAAAATGCTCCTGATAGCCTGACCTACCCTTAGGTAGGTATTCACTTTGAATCAATATAGATGCCAATTTTATCAGCTCCTGATAGATACTGGCACTACTCTCACTACATTAAACCCCTCATCTTTGCTCAGCATCTTCCTTATAGTAAGCACACACATGTGTGATAAGTCTTTTGAATAACCCAGAGAGTACAAAAAAAAAAATTAACCCCTCTCTTAAAATCAAATTGGTTGGAAAACTTTAAAAAGACAGATGAGGTTATATTTAGGGCTTGTGGCACCTGTCAATAACACAATCCTGGAAAAATTATAAAAGTGTGACCTGGCCTGGAACCAAAGTCTGCTAAGCCTTTTGAACAACTTCAGATGGATTTTTTTTAAATGTTTTAGTTATTGTATGTGTGTTTGCAAGATGAGTTGCAGCATTTCCTCGTTAAAAAATTATAGCCCTGGGCCTCCCCGGTGGCGCAGCGGTTGAGCACTGGGTTGCGAAGCTGCCCGCGGCCTCTGCGGCGCCAGTTCGATCCCCGGCTGCTCCCCGGCCACCAGAGGAGGGTCCCACATGGCGTGCAGACCTCTCCTGCCGCCCACTGCTCCCCTCAGCAGTGTACTTCGGTCCTTCTGCCTGCTCTGCTCCCCGCTCTGCCTCTGGTGAATTCTCTCACCCTCCCGCTCTTCTGACTGTACCCAGTGCATGTATAAACAAAACAAACAAACCAGCAAACAAATAAATAAAGCATGCCTCTATTAAAAAAAAAAAAAAAAAATTATAGCCCTTATAGTTATTAAAAGAACTGCTTCATTCTGTCTTTTTAATCTAGGGTATAGCAATTTCATCACAAGTGACCAAAGCACACATTTATGGGAACCATAATAGAAGAACTTGGTAAAGCACTACCCCTTACTCCAAAACTACATTGTCCTTCTCACCCACAGTTTTCTGGAATGATCGAAATAGCCAGTGGCATGCTTAAAATTAAATCAATAAAACTCTCAGAGATCCTTGGCCAATTTTTTGACCCTCCCTTGGTCAAAGGTCATCCTACTCCCCCTAGCCTTTCTGGTCTTACAGTCTCTTCCCTTTGGCACACATTACTTTTCACAATATGAGTTGGTAGTGAAAAGCCTATGCATTTAGGATTTCACCTTCAATAATAGACTGTGTCCTACTGCACACAGATATGGCAAAATATTACAAGGACCCATATACTATACCCAGTCCTATCACCAAGATCATTAGGTGATTATTTCCACAACATTTTTTTTTTTTTTTTGCATAGAACTGTAGTGTAGGCCAGAGGTGCAGGGGGTGAGAGCATTCACCAGAGACAGAATAGAACAGGTGGATTTACTGAAATACACTGATAAGGGGAAGGCAAGACAAGAGAGGTCTGTTGTACCATATGTGGGTTAGCTCCCTGGCTGAGGATCAAGCTCAGGCTGCAGTGATGATAGCACTGAGACTTAACCCTAGGCCAACAGGGAGCTCCCCTCGATACTTCTTTTTTTTTTTAAAGATTTATTTATTTACTTATTTA